TCAAAACCGGTGTTTGACAAGCATAGACTATTATGCTTATATCATCATAAATTTACCATGCACTTCCTCACCACTGAAAAATTCATTAAAAGAAGTTTCAAACCTGAAATGTTGCATGTGCACTATACTTAAGTGCAACCTAAAGAAAATTTAGGACTGAGATTCAAACTCTCTCAAACATATACTTTTAAATTTGCTCTAGAGCAGGGGTTCTCCACTCTACCCCTTGAGGTCCAAATTGGTTTTCCCAGTGTTAACAGAAACTTCAGTCTCCATAGCAGGGTTCTCAACTCTGGCTTTCCTGCAGAGTTTAGCTCCAACCCTGATCAAACAAGCTAATATGGGTCTTCAGGATAACTAGAAAGTTACTGGAATTTTATTGAGGTAGGAGCAGGTAGACTGAAGTTTCTGTTGACATTAGTAAAACCTAATTTTGCTGTGAGAGATGTAAAATTAAAAATAAATCATAAATCTTTCCACCCCATGGTCAAATTATAATTTGAATAATACTTTATATATAAAAAAACTCTTTATATTAACTGACTTTCTATTAATGCAGTACAGGTAATGACAACTGTCTGTGGTCTCTCAATGGTTTATATCATGCACAAATAAGCATTATTTGATTAATTAATCAGGTGTTTTTGATTATGTTTGGAGCTGAACTCTGCAGGAAAGTGGCTCTTGATTGCCAGATTTGAGAACCCCTGCTCTACATTAAGCTTAATTATTATTCAACCTCAGTAACTTTAGACATATTCACCATCAAATGTCTACACAGGCAGCAAAAAAATGTATATGCACTCTATGATCTTTTCACATATAACTTACTGTTTACCTATTTGGTCACAAGCTAGTGTTACATCTCTGAAACCTCTGCAATCACTTTAAAAATGGACTTTAAAAATTCTGGATAAGAAACCAAGCATGTCTCATCATTGCTCTATAATACAAAAACACAGATTACTCAGCTGGGAAAACATGGTAAAATGTTCAAATCTATGTCTTGTTTATAAAATTATTCATGGTTTATCATCCCCTCCTCTCCATCAGTTTGTCAACATCTGTACAGCTGAGCATAGCAGAACCAGAGGTGCAGCGAGGGGAGATTGTATCATTCCCTTTAGGAAAAGTGTATTTGGCCAAACCGCCTTTTCTGTTTGAGCTGCTACTGAGTGGAACCTCACCCCCATAAATATTAGAAATCTAAACATATATAGTACATTTAAGATCCAGTTAAAGAAATGGCTCATTGATAATCAGAGCTGTCAACATTAGCTTACTACTAGACCTGCTCTAGCTGCCCCGTTGGTTTTTTTGCTTTGTGTGCATGTATGTGTTCATGTATTTGTCTGATGTTTGTCTGATTGTTGGTCTGTTGCGTTTCTATTGTACATCATAGCTTAATAGTACTTTTTACTAAATGTATTGTAATTGTTTTATTAATATGTAATTTTACTCTCTTTTAGGGTGACTATTACCATCTGTCTAGGGACTGCAGGTGAAAAATAGCCTTCTGGCTAATTCTGGCATATCGACAGAAATGTTTATTAATATGCATTGTCCCTTTAATAAAAAATTATTTTTTAAGATAGCCTTGTCCTTGTCATCAGTGATCATATTAGAAAATATTCCTGTACCACTGAGAATTTGAGAATCACTGTTCTACACTGTTGTCAACCAAGCCAGTACTTTAAATATGAGATCTCATACTATCAGGTCAGTATTCAACAATGAATGAATAATCCCAAAATGATTGCAGTGAATTATTAGAGTGCACATCTCCTTTAAGCAGGCTTAGTCTGTAAAACAGATGGCCAGTATGAAGAGACTGCATGACTGCAGTGGGGACATTCTGGGATAATGAGTTTGGCACTGCTCCTTTCAAGCTCTCATTCAACATTTTCCCACATAAAAGAATTATCTAAGCAAATTGATGTCTGTGTCATCAGTATGCATTTTTCCTGATGTTTCTGTTTCCTGGTTCTCATTTCATATCTGTTTTTGTTTTAGGTTCTCTATTGTATAACATCTATTTTTTGTTTGCTTGCTTTGATTGGATTATGTATGGGTTTTTTTCTGCTGTCCTCTGTTTAGACTTACATTCTATTCATTTGTTGTTTCCCTTTTCCTTTGTAAAAGGACCATTAGGTCCTGAAAGGCGACATATAAACCTTTTTGAATTATTATCATGATAATAAGTAGCTCAAAAGAGAGGACCCACACAATCACCATGTTCCAGAATTAAACTAAGTTAGTCTTTAATACTATATAATGTAATCATGATTTCTGTTAAAATGTCTTTTCTATTTGATTGCCATGATTGTAAACTCATAAGAGCTGCCATTGAGTCAGAGCATATTATTACTTTATCCGGTCTTACTTCATATACCCACTCTAATGCCATAAGGATAGCTCATGAGAATCTCTCTCTCTCTCTCTCTGGTTTTATTAGCGGGTCGCAACCAACTTGTTCAGGTGCATACCGCCACCTACTGTTGCCATGAGAGTCAGTAGAAACAGGCTTTGTTCAAATACCCACGCTTGCGGTCTTTGCACTTGACCACTTGAACACTTATATGACGTATTTCCTGTATTTGGCCGAAGCGTTCAAGTGAGGATGAAGTGTGTGTCGAACTTTTCATTACCTGATGGGACACACTTATAGTGTTGTAAAAATGCAAGTGTTTACACAGCTTTATTTTAATTTTAATTTGACATACTTTGCATTTTAAAATCAACTTCTAAATGTCTGTTCAGTAGTCCCTAGAACATGACATAATTTTAATTTGTGGTGCTTCTAATTAAATGATAAAAAAGCAGTTACAAATGTTGTACAAAATAAATATCACCACAACTCATCTTTGCACCAATAAAAGTAAAAACACAGTTTTTCTACCAAATTATTTGTCATATCTAATTATTATATTAATATTTAACTTACATTGGAAAGGTTTCTCGCAAAAAGTCTCACGATTTATTTCCAGAACATGATGCATGATGGGATACACTTAGCCTTGAATAGCGCTCCGGAGCGGTATTCGAGATAGTGTGGATTTAGTATCCATTAAGGGCACTGCACTTTGAAGACATGGGACAGACTTGCACACTTACTTCCTGTCGCGCGCACGCGCTCTCAAGTGGCCAAGACCGCAAGTGTGGGTATTTGGACAAGGGGACAGAGTTGTTTTAAGGAGGAGATGGCAATCTGTCGTGCACATACTCGACCACGTGCTCCTTGTAAGCCAATCATTTAATGGCTCTGACGGTGTCGGAGTTTTACGACAGCTGGCGTAAACACTAGAAAACTATTCAGATTGCACAGGCATGTAATTCCTTTGATGTCTTTGTGAAATTTAGTTTATTCCCCATAGACAGTGTATTTATTTATTGTAGTCTTTGTTTACATTTACATTTAGTCATTTAGCTGACGCTTTTATCCCAAAATATTTTACGTGGTTATGTTGCTCATGCATTTATTGTTCAATAAAGATCTTTGCCAGATAGTGCCGTAAATGACTAGTCTAGCACTAGTCACCTGTTAGGATCTCGTCGTGTTAAGCATTGTTCAGCAAGATTGAAGTCTCCTCGTGTAAAGTGGTGGCTCTGGTAACATCTAATCATACGTCCAGTAGGTGTTGAAAGAAAAATAGACGTAATCTCGCAGCGCATTCGCATCCCGAATTGACCGTTCAAGACGGCGGAGTATCTTGCCTCCATTTTTAGTACAGAAAAAGACAAGTAAGCTATATTAATATATTTATTTTGAACGGTGCAATATTAACTGATTTGTAGGCTAACATACCTGTTTGTCTGCTGAGCTTTTACATCCGAACGCAAAACAATGTTGTTGTGTGAGATGTGAAACTTCCGCATTTCTCATTCTGCAGGTTACAACAGTGAAATCACACACTGCCGCCAATGTTATAAAACATTTGAAATATATCTAATGTACTGACAACATTAATTAAAACATTAATTAAAAAGAAGTATTGATTTCTCTAGTTTTTTCAGTAGTTGGGGTTAAAATACTGTGGCTTTGTCCGTTTAAAAAGTTAAAATTGACACTTTGCATGATCTTGTCACACTGTCAATGGCGATAACGTTATTTTGTCAGTCTTCATATCTTGGAACAGTCTCCGTCCTGTTTGTTATTTCTAGGATCAACTGCTCCTTTTATTTCAAAATGAGCAAGGCACCGAACCCCCAACTGCTCCCCGGGCGCCGCAGCATAAATGGCTGCCCACTGCTCCGGGTGTGTGTTCACGGTGTGTGTGTGTTCATTGCTGTGTGTGTGCACTTTGGATGGGTAAATGCAGAGCACTAATTCCGAGTATGGGTCACCATACTTGGCCACGTCACGTCACTTTCACAAAGTGACACATCTCTGACGCAATAAAGTCAGTATCCCAGTTTTTCAAGTCTCTGTTTATCTAATATATATGTGTATATATATATATATATATAATCAGCTGTATAAACTAACTTCACAACTTTCACTTGCACTGATATACAGTAGCATGATGTTTTCTTTTAATTTTCTTCTATCTTGGACAGCCCTTTTCTTCTTGAACCACATGTTTCAAGGCATGTGATTGGCTGTTTGTTACTGATGTCACATTTTCATGTGCACATGCTCCATGAACTCAGGATCAAAACCTGAGCTGACAGAGATCATGTTACCAACAAATCCTGAGTGTATATTTTTTGGTTTTCGTCAACTCAAAACTAATTCTGTAACCCAGAGTTTGTTCAACTACCATAATGGTACAAGCCCCAGATCTAAGAGTGTTGGGTAATCCATTGCTTTCTAAGATGCGCTTAAGAAAGTTAAATGGTCAGCTTTTTACGAGGTCGGATTTATTTTTTATTTTTTGGGGGGGAATAGGGGTCCCTCCGGGTTTCAGTCTTTTGGATGCACAAAGACAACTTCCTCAGCACCATTTTTTTGTGTAACCAATTGGGGATTATTTATATACATATTTTGATTTCTCCCTTTGCAGACCATCTTGATTTAAAACATCTACCGTAACCCCCAAAACAGTGCACAGACAGCCGACCCTTCTCGCTGTAAGTCCCGCTTTTCCTTGAGATAATGCTAGCTCGTGGGGTAAGCAAGAAATCCCATTTCTGTCCCAGATAATTGAGATAAAACTCAAAGTTGATGGAGAGGCAGCCTCAGCGCTGATACATTACACATCAAGTAATAAGTAACTGAAAACTTGCTCTTTCTAATAAACAGTAAAAGTGTTATGGATTTGTTTTTATAATGTGAGATTGTCCAGGCAATTGTTTGTTATCCCTTTTTCCAACTACATGATTCCTGAATCATTTTATACTTGCTTGTACATTCTCGAGCGATTTTATACCATTCTATCAAAGAAAAACAATTCTGGTCTGGAAAAACTGGTTCTGCAACATCCGTAAACATTTTCTGATCTGGAACCAGCGCCTCATTTATAAAGATGTGCATAGAATGATCCTAAATGTGAATGTACAGCAATTTCTGAAATGTACCTGCAAACAGTTTATACAATGTTTATAGCACAAAAATAATTCCTTAATGCATCCTACATTTATAAATCACACTTCATCTTGACATATCATGAAAATCTGACTTTTCCAGGTTTTAAGTGCTATAATCAGGTCCTTGGTGCATCTACCAACCAATGAAACGTGAAAAAGATTAACCCAGTAACTTTGTTTTGGGAAGCCTTTTTCTGCAAGCGTCTGAGAAAACTAGCGCATCTGATTTCGCTTCCTTTGGTGACGTGGCAAAGGGATCTCATTATAATAATACCGCCCCTTAATCTGTAAGTTTACACCCACAGCACCGTTATTGTGTTTTCGCAAGCGACACCAGTGTACCAGTTCTAATGCCATAGCGAAAGTTTGAGCAAAACATGCTAACTCTTCTGTCTTTGGCTGCACAGACGAGCACAGAACACTGTTTAGAGTCCCAGCCTCAGAGGAGACAACAGAGCAGTGGAATTATTGATTTATTTACTGTATATTGCTGCTGCCACACAGATCTAAAATAAACATGCGATTTATTTCCCAGCTGTTTACCTTCACAGACATAACCGACTGTTTTTGTAACTCGTGTGTGTTTTTAAACGTAAACTTGTGTGTGAATGAGAACTTAGTTTAGTACTCACATGCTGTGACAGCCGCTTTCTGTCCGTGTGCTTCGGATGTGTGCACTCATAAAACCTTATATAAGAGGTTTAAACTCATATGGTTTAAAACGCATGATTTCAGTGCGATAAACATGATAATCAGAACCAAAACAGATGTTTTTAGCAGGTACTAGCTGTAATAGCGCAGCTCTATTCTGGAAAAGAGGGTGGGGAGCAGCAGCTCATTTGCATTTAAAGAGACAGGCCCGAAAAACAGCGGGGTTTTTGCTTCCACTCAAAATAGGCATTTTCAAAATGTTATAATGAAGGATCTGTGGAGTATTTTGAGCTGAAACTTCACAGACAAATTCTGGGGACACCAGAGACTTATATTACATATTGTAAAAAGGAGCATAACATGTCTCCTTTAAAATTAATTAAATTCTTTATGGTTTAGAAGTAGGATCAAATGCGATCGTACCTGTGTTTTATAAATGAGGCCTCAAGAACCAACTGCATCAGAATGTTTTGTAGTTAGGTAAAATTTCCTGAACAAGTTTGGCTAGCTACTTCATCGATGCTTGCAGTAAGGAGCAGTTTCTAATTTCTTGCAATACATAATCTTAAAAATGACTTATAGGAGAAGCATTCAGCATTGATCTGCTCTGCTTGCTATATATTCTTCTACTGAGATTCAAGGAAATTGGAGAGCTTGCAAAAGAAAGTAAAGAAATGCTGAATGCTGGCTTCATCTCCAGCCACTTAACCCCTTTACTTCACCATACAGTTTGTGAAAGCTCCTAGATTGCATGAAAACCGGCACCATATTGATGGAAAAGAGGTGATGGGTTTGTGTGGATTCTTGCCTAGAAAAGATACTTTTATTGTTTAATTTTAAGGTAAGTATGAGTGCAGACTCCAGACACCTTTATTTCCATCCAGTAAAGGACTCCGTACTTTGACGAAAGCAGACATCTTGCTTTTTAACATTTTTAAAAAATATGTAATGATCTGCATAAGCGTAATTACAGCCCTTGTTTCAAGAATATATGTTAACTAAGCTGTACATATTTACATAATTGTAAACAGAAGATACTTCTCTGCTTCATCAAAGCCCTAAGACCTTTACGTACTAGTTCTCGTGTCATCTTGGATGGATCTCTGACCTCTCCTGCTGACCCCACTCTCCCCAATTCACTTGTTTTCATGAATTGCCTAATTTGTAATGTTGATATCTCATGTGGTCTGTAGACCTGGATGCTAAACAGTCTTAGAGTTTCTTTTACAAAGATGCACATTTTGTATTTCAGACCATTGTCCTCATGAACATATACCGTAACACTCAAAACTATGCCCAGTCTGCTGATGGTTTACACTGTAAGTTGCCCCCCACTTGCTTGCAGGAGTCTGTGGCATTAAACGTTTCTTTACGACTGACACATATCAAGAGCATCCATAACAATGTTAACGGATTAGATCCCATAGTTTGTTTTTTAAATACAACTTTTCACAAACACTGCAGTGATTGAACCATGGCCTTATGTTTATAGGTATAATGAAGGTCTATTTAATTCAGTATTTAGATTTTGCAGACACTTTATCCCCAAGTATGCATCACTCCTAAAAATATTTGTTAGGTAATTTTATGGGTCATGTATAACAATGAGACCTATAATGACTTGTAATGTTGTTTGCTCAGGCCAACAGATTTGTCTTTGACCCATATCATGATTAGTTACAATCAAATCAATACAAAGGCTTACTGTGTGTCTGCCAGATTGGCCTGAAATAATTTCCAATATATCAAAATATTGTACTCTAATACACCTTTCTGTGATCTAATTATATTTTTAAAGTTGTTGCTAGGTGCTGTTAGTGATGTGGAAATGCAGGAACATTATGACGAGTTTTCATCAAGGATGAGTTTTGTTTTGTTAGTTTTTTTTCCTGCTTCATGAGACCTGTGGACCTGGTTCAGAAATGACTTAGCATCCCTAGGGTCAGAGTTTCTGTGTCTTTCTGTACTCTTTACCATGCTAAATGGCTCAAATGTGCACATCTAACCTCTACTTAAAGTGACGTTCCTAGAAGAACAAAGCTAATATTTACATATAGATGAAACCATTAAAAGCCGTGCTGGTTGGGTGAGGGAGAAATCCTGGCAACCCAAGGTTTTTAGTTGTGGAGGCCTGAATGGTGCATAGACATTTTACAGTAGCTCTTATTTCATTTTTTTTTTTTCAAAAAGTTTTCACATAAAACATTTCTTTAGTTGTCTCACCTTTCTTATTTTGTGATTATATTACATCGCATAATGCTTAATGAGAATCAGTAGTTAAATGAATGTGATGGTTCACCCAAAAATAAGGGGAAAAAAGAGTGAAATGTAATGTAAGAGTAAAACATAAAAAAATAATTCTTTCATAATTTACTCACTCACATGTTGTTCCAAACCTGTATTACTTTTTTATTTCTTTCCTTTAACACAGAAGATACTTTGAATGTTATGGTCCAAACAACGTTGGACCACATTGGCTTTCACTGTATGGACAAAAAAAAGTCATACAGGTTTGAAGCAACATGAGCGTCCGTAAATGATGCCACAATATATATATATATATATATATATATATATATATATTTATTTATTTATTTTTTGGGCACTATTCCTTTGAAGTAGTTCCTTCTACATTTTGCAATGCTGATTTATTATGTTTTCAACAGGAAGTCTTCACAGAAATGGAGAAGCATGGAGAGGTTGAGGAGATGAATGGTGATCATTTGGTCGGAAATGTTTATGTGAAGGTACTGTAAAATTTGAGTGTTTTTTTTGTGCTTTTGCTTGATTGAACAGACAGGTTTATGAAATTAACCGTATTTCAAACAATGTAGCTATGACAGCCTGCATTAGAGAATTATGCTTGGAAATGTGTAACCGTTTACTTTGTTTTATTGTCTGAACAGTTTCGGAGGGAAGAGGATGCTGAGAAAGCTGTATTGGACTTATATAATCGCTGGTTTAATGGCCAACCAATACATTCAGAGCTCTCACCATTTACAGACTTCAGAGAAGCCTGCTGTAGGCAGTATGAAATGGGGTCAGTGTCTCACACTTCATTCATTGTTATTTCATTGAGAAACAATGGCATTTTAAATATATAATATGTCACTTTTTAAGTAAATGACTGATTGGAAACTGTTCAAGACATTGTTTGTGTCTAAAGTTTTCATATACAAAACATTGTATTGTTGCCACACTATTTGTTTTTTAAACGAGAGTGGGGTTATATTAATATAGTTTATATTATAGTAATATACAGTATCTCACAGAAGTGAGTACATCCCTCACATTTTTGTAAATATTTTATTATATCTTTTCATGTGACATCACTGAAGAAATGACACTTTGCTACAATGTAAAGTAGTGAGTGTACATCTTGTATAACAGTGTAAATTTGCTGTCCCCTCAAAATAACTCAACACACAGCCATTAATGTCTAAACTGCTGGCCACAAAAGTGAGTACACCCCTAAGTGAAAATGTCCAAATTGGGCCCAAAGTGTCAATATTTTGTGTGGCCACCATTATTTTCCAGCACTGCCTTAACCCTCTTGGGCATGGAGTTCACCAGAGCTTCACAGGTTGCCACTGGAGTCCTCTTCCACTCCTCCATGACGACATCACGGAGCTGGTGGATGTTAGAGACCTTGAGATGCTCAATAGGGTTTAGGTCTGGAGACATG